CTGGTACCCCCAACTTGTGCACTTGTTGGCAGGGGTAAGTGGAAAGCTCCAGGGCGTCCGGCATCCCCAAATGGAAGTTGTGGACGCTTCAGAAAGTAGGAAGGCCACTTTCTCCATGTCTCAGAGCTGGCAAAAGGGCCAGAATAACAGCAGGAGATGTCCCGTCTGCCAAGGAGACAAGCACACAGCACTAACCACAGAATCCTGCTTTCCTTAATCTGCCTGAAAGCTGTGGCAAGCCAGGGGAACTTGACAATTGTTTGTGTCTGCCCTGAAACAAACTTTTTGGCCTGTGACATAAACACTCATCTGGCGTGCATGGTTTGAGTTTCCGCATATAAAACCTGCGTGGGCGTCTGGATGTGTAACGTAGACACAGTTCAGGATGCAAACAAGCTACATTCAAGAGCTAAGCAACGATGGAAAGGAAAAAAAAGGGAATACAAGCAACCACATGGCCTGGAGCTGTACCATCTTGGGTGGGGATCCAGCCGGATCTCATTTATTCTCAAGAGCCACAGTGCTGGTCAGCTGTTAGATGGGAGACCTTTAAAGAAAACCAAGCGGAAATGGTCGCAGTGATTCAGATTCTTCCCCACGAGGCAGGACACAAGCCAGAACGTGAGGCAGAGCTGTAATGTCAGGAGATGTCCTCCTTTAGACAGAAGCAAAACTCAAGTTGCTCAGTGTTTTGCAGCTGGCAAAGCCCAAGTTCCTCTTCGCTCTTCAGAAAAGTAGGGGCTTGGTTTCTTGAGCACGGTTGGTTTCTTGAATATTGTTATTTTTGTTTCTTTTGGGTCATTGTATTTCACATAACACAATTCCCTCTGCCTCCTTGGCTCACCTTAAACTTAAAACTAGGGCACTCCCTTAGGAAATGGAGTGGAAGTTCAGATAGGGGGAGCAAATTGATATGGCTACAATGGACAAATCCAGGAAATGGGCTTTCAAGAGGCCTTGGTAACTGGGGCCTTTAACCCCCTGTAACTGGAGAGAAAAATGCAGCAGAGCCAAATGGATGCAGGAGGGTGCAGAGAGCAGCCTATGGGGTCAGTGACACCCCTCATGGCCAAGGAGAGGACAAGAGGCCATGTGCCCGGAGTATAAACCTGGCTCCTGGGCTGGAGAGGCCATTCTGGCCCAGGTCCCGAAGAGAGAAACAGTCCTGTGAAGAGTCCCATGGAGATTAGTAGTTTATATATTGAAGTTTGCATGGCTGAGAGGCATGTCAGTGGCCAATAGTCTGGGCCACTGTGGGTGCCCAGGGAAGGCATTGTAGATGGGCAGCTTAAGACTGCTTAGGGCTGCAGACCCCAAGAGGGATTGGTCACCGGCAGGGACTGCAGGCCTCAAGAGAGAGAGAAAGAGACAGATAACTGGGGCTAGAGGGAGAGCCCCACTCCGAATCAGAGCTAAAAGACTGGGCCAGACTGGGTGCCCATGCTGAGGTGTGAGAAGTGAAGCACCTCAAGGCTTGCTCTGGTATTCAGAGGGCAGCCTCCCAAGTTTATCTTTATTTCCAGGACAGTTTCGCAGGCAAGGACAGGGCACAACCCTGGAAGTGAGAGCCTGCCAAATGCCTATTATTTGAAAGCATGCAAGGGTGTTTCAGAAAGTAATGGCAATTTCAAAATAAAGCCATTTTGTGTGCAGTGGTCATTTGCTGGACGAAATCACAATTATAAACAATGGGTACACTTGACACTGCTGCCATCAGTGTTCCCTGCTGCTGTGTAGCTTTCCAATTCGTCACAGACATCGAGCGTGGGTAGCCATTTGGCCATTAGTTTCTGAAACACCCTCGTATTTAAAAAAATTCATGGCAATTCACAGCCCCTATTCACAAATCTGCAACCACAAAGCAGCGGGACATGGAGGAAATGCTCTCACAAGGTCCCTTCCAGGCCTAAACTTCTGTGAATCTGTGAAAGTAAAGTGGATTCTGCCTTTTAGGGTATTCAAGTGGCCATAAACTACCCTGACAAAATGAAAATGCCGTGCTTGAAAATAGGTATTTCCAATTGTACTAACAAAAAGGACCAAAGTAATTGGTGTTGTCTGTTCTCCTTGCACTCTGTGCACACAACTGTGGGGGCTGCTCACAGAAACTGAACCTGCACAACACGCACGCAGTAGGTTTCTCATCCTTTGCAATAAATTGCTTGAAATGCTTTTCCTTTTAAACACAAAGTACATGCGTATGTTGCGATTATTTATTGTGAATTACCCAAAGAGGATGTTCTGTCCTATATCTCAGATGTAAAACATGAGAGGTAATTCAATGGTTGCTATAGTGCCATAATTACACATTTGTATGGAACACTTAGTCATTTCATGGCGAGAGTGCTTGAGAAAACTGGACCTACCGCCATCATTTTATTTTAAAGAATTTACTATTACACACTTTTTTGGTGCATCGAAATGAGTTCATCTGAGAACATCTTCCTCTCTTTCAGGCACTGCTTTGACTTCATCAAAATGCATGGTTTCATTGGAGTCCTGACCACCAGGTTTGGGAGGGAATTTCATAGCTCAGATGTCTGGTTTCTGGTCCGTCCTAGAGGGTTTTGAACCTTGGAGACTTAAAAACGTAAGTTGATGTCCTCTCAAGTGGAAAGTGCACGATGCTGGGACTCTTAACCCTGGCAGTGACACTCTCGCCCTGGATGGCTTTGGACACACTGTTTACGGCATGTCCATACCACTCCTCGGATGCTCCCTGTTGGATACACAGAAATGAGGCAGTAAAGCCAACCTGAGGGTGCCCTGCACCACAGCTCCCCAAAACGCTGTCTGAGAGCAGCGATGCAGTGAGGCCATGAAAAAGGCTTCACTGCTTTATTTTGGGGGTTGCACATGAAGGATTGGGTGTGAGCGGCAGGGGTGGCCTTCTCAATGGTGCTCTCAGGAGCATTGCAGAAGCAGTATAGACACACACCCTTAGTGCTAGAGGCAAAGGAGGACTGAGGTGCTGCCAAATTAGATGCTACCACTATCTCCTGTTGAGCTCCTGGGCTCCAGAGTGGAATCCAAACTCCAGAGTTAGGTGCCAGGCTCCTCATACAGTCCTGGGCAGAGGTGGGTACCTCAGCGGGAAGGTCCCAAAGTCCCATGCACTGGGTGGGGACCTGCCTAGAAATAGCCAGTAGGAAACTTTAGGTACAGGGGGTGTCTGAGTTCCCACCTCTCTCTGAAACAGAGGCACCCTCTGATTGGGATCCTAAGCCGGGAACCCCTTCCTAAGGGAAGGCACAAGTATTCACTGAAAGAACAGAGGAGGCCTCAACCTTTTTAAGACATGGCTGCCAGAGAAAGAGGTGACGCCTGCCTTTTATATACGAGCTCAATGGTTAAAGCTCTTGGCTCTTAACCACGGGATGTGGGAGACCTGCGTTTAAGCCATCCTCACCCTGAAGGGATTGAAACCACATCTGCCACTACACAGGAGAATGCCATGGCCACCAGGTTACAGGCTGGGGAGGGAGGCACTCTTCACCTCCTCCTGTTGAAGCTAGGGTTAAATGCAAGCCACAAATGCAAGACTCATGGGGCCAGAAAGAGAGAGCAAGAAAGAGAAGGACCCTGTAGCCTAATGGTTAAGACATGCAGCTGAGAGCTGGGAGATTGGTGCCTCTGGCCATGCTCTCAAGGTTATTGCTGGGGGAGTTTCTTTAGCTAGCGGCCGCTTAATGTAATGCATCAACAGATGACAAAAGAATCGAACCATTTGATCTCCAACTTTTTCTACCAGAGATTTCTATACATGACATTAAGTAAGTTGGTAGTGTAAGAGTTATGCTGTAGCTGTGATGACATTAGTTGAAATAAAATGACAGCTCTTTAACCCTGGTCAGCAGCCAGTCTAGGAGTAAAGTCCTCACAGACGGACAAATGGATGATCTCCTTTGCTCCGACAGCTCCTGCAGCCAAGCTGATTCCAGATGTACCGGCACCTGCCTTTCCTTTGGACTAAACCAGCAAGGCTGAGTGGGGGACACCGGTGTGCGGGCAGCTCGGTGTCTCCATATACACTGCCCAAGCTTTTGCACCCTGGAAAGGTCACTCCAGCTTCACATTCAGCGAGCTGATGTCTCAGCCAGAGTAATTATATTGTCTCGCGGGACAGACAGATGCCTACAAATGCTGTCATCAGGTTAGGTGTGCTGGAAGCATACTTACTGGATGGAGGTGTGTCAGGGGCTTGTGCGCTGCTTAATGGGTCTGCGGCAGGAGATGAAAGCCAAATTTTTAAGACAGGGACAGTTCTGGGCATCCTCCCAACAAAACTGCAGGTGTCCCAAGGATCTTCCCATCAAAAAGGAAGGTGCCTTGTGTGTTCAGGCAGCCACTGAGCAGAGCTGTTTTGGATCACAGTTGTGGCACAGATTTAGATTTTCTTTGGATCTGCCCCATCCCTTCTTTTCGTCCCTGAGCTAACCCATCTAAAAAATGGTAAAAGGTAAAAACAGAGGTAAATAATTAGCCACCCACTTGACAGGGAGGGAGGGAGGAGAATTTAGGGTGAGTTGGGCAATGCTTCAAAGGGTCAGTGGTACGTCTCATGACTATTATCGGGTGGGCCAGCGTGGATCTCAGGAAGTGAGGACCTTTCTGGGTTTTATGAGAAGAGCTCCTACATGAGCCTGCTCGAATTATTGGCATCTGGTCTGATTTTTTCAGCTGTTCGGGTCATCCCTCTGGTGATGGTACTCATCCTCTTGGTTGCTGGCAGCTGATCATCAGGTTTGTTGACTGTCTGTAAGTCACTGAAAGAGGGTGAAGACTCATTAGCGGCTAACAAACATTGAATTGTTAATACTACAAGTCATGGGATGGAATTTGGAAAGAGACAATTAAACTGAATATCAGGGAAATTGTTCCTAATAATGAAATCTGACAGACTCTTTAGGCCTGGGATCATATATGTGTCTATATAATAGTCAGGACAGTGGGATAATAATTCTAATTGATGCCTCTGTGCACTACTGTCCCAAATATTAAGCAGCAGTAGACTGAAATCATTTTAAATGCCCCAAGCAATGGGACTTCCACCAACTTCCTGTCGAGATGCTGTTGGATCCAGACAACACGCTTGCAAATACAGTGCAGACTAATTCAACTCTAATCCAACAAGGAATGAAGCAGACTTGACATGAAAGGAATTTTACCTCTCTGATTTCTCTGATGCTGCATGTGGATGGACTTCTAATTATTCTGTCTCCTGATCATAACAGATGAGATCTCAGTCATGCTTCTTTGAAGTTAAACAACTCGGAGGGATTGTGTTTAAGCGCGTGCTTTTTCAACTCTCACTTTCTCTCTCTTGTGCTCCTGTCTGCTCAAACGTAAAGGAGCGCCCTGGAGCCTTCCCACTTGAATCTGAAAACTAATGGTCAATCAGTGCTTCCCCCGTTACCCTAAGAAACTCTTACTGTACTCGCCAAGCCTAGCCCTGCAGCTCTGCCACTCTCATTGATGGTGAGGAGGAACTTTTTTTCCCTGCTGGGGCTGTTTGACAACTGACCTCACACTCCTGATGTCTTTTATTTCTGTCCTGGTGACAGGCGTCACGATTGTAGATCCACACACTATTTCAGTGTGTCAGAGGATGACTCTTCCCACCTGTGTCACAAGATCCTTCCTATTTCCTATTCAAGTGGGAGTTCAAGCAGGGAGCTCACGACAGCTGCCTTTCCTGGCACTGGCCCGCTGCGTCCCAGCAGCTGACTCCTCTTCCTCCGTCGAGTGCCCATCACTTTCCCCGGCCTGCGCCCTGCATGCATGTGCACGGGGCTGGCTCCAACAGAGAGCCTAGGCTGACCTCCACAAGCACAATATCTTACAGATACTCACTGCGCTTCTCTGCAACAACCTCCTGAATGGCTGCACCGGGAAAGTGATGTCCGTGCCTTGGACATGTGAGCACTGAGGTTTCTGGGGAGAAGCATCTGTTGGATCTGCCTACACACCTTGCCTTTGCTGTCCTCCAGTGTCCCCTGAGGACTGCAGACAAGGGGGAGCAGCCCCAGCTACCCTTTTGTTCCTTCCATTAAGCACAGCGTCTATTATTAGACTGAAGTACCAGACGGAGGAAGGCGCCTGAATAGTGCAGATTCATGCAGGCAATCATCTTGAAGGACCGTTGCACCTAAGGTAAGTAAAAGGGTCAGGTCCTATTCTGCCTCTTAGGCACGTAAGTGGACGTAGGCGCTATTGTGATCCTGTTCCGCCCGCTGCTTGAGTCCCTGAACAAAACAATGCATCTCCTTCCGTCAGGCACTATCCTCATCGGAGTGGGATTTGGTGGCAGCTTACAAATATATCAGGGGACGGCATCAGGGGCTAGGCAAACAACTATTCACCAAAGCGCCCCAGGGGAAAACCAGGAGCAATGGTCATAAACTCCTAGAAGGAGGTTTCAGGCTGGATAAAAGGAAAAAAAAACTTCTTCACAGTTCTTGTGAGCAGACTCTGAAATAGACTCCCAGCTGGGGTGGTGCAGACACCTACCCTGGAGATCTCCAAAAGGAGACTGGACACACACCTTGCAGGGGTTATTTCACCCCAGCGGTCTTTCCCGCCCAGAGCAGGGGGTCTGGATGCGATGATCTCATGAGGTCCCTTCCGGCCCTAAACTTCTGTGAATCTGTGAATCTCAGCTTTAAGACTAAGTCACAAAGAGCAGCGAGGAGAAGGAGGACCTGACCACACATATTTCACATTAATGGATTTTCAGGGACTTGAGTAGGATGAGGTAGGACTTCACAAGTGCACCCTAGGTCACTTAGGCATCTAATCAGAGGAATAGGATCTGGCATTGACTGCCCAAATGGATTCCCACAGCTGGTGACCGGCAAGCGGGACCTCTGCCCTCCATCAGATCTAAGGCACTTGGTTCAGAGGAAGAAGCCCTGCTAGCTCACATACATGGACGTCAATAAAAGCGTTGACACTGTACCAGGGGAAACTGCCAACCTTTCTCATATTTTGAGTTGTCTGTAGAGGAGGATGATGTCTGATCTCCAGAGGCAGCAAAATGTCTTTGCCATAAACCAAGTATGAAAATAAAAAAGGGCAATGCACAGTGTCAGCGCTTTTCCTGCTGGGGGTTTCAGTAAAATGAAAACGGTCTCAACTCTGCTGCTTAGTTATAGTATTTCCAGGTAGACAGGTTAATGCCTGCTCTTATTTCATAGCTGTGAATCCTCAGTAAACTGAAATCTGATCTCTTCTGGTGTCCTATAAAACTGCTTCATTTCCTGCCTGCTTCTGTTTTATGGTAAGGAGGTAAAAGTGTTGGCAGGATTTGTAGGAAACACAGAACGGGGGGAAGGACATTCTCATTTATCAAGCTGACTCAGGCAGGCAGACTATCCGCTGTGCTTCGGCCCCACGTAAGCGCTTCAAAGAAGGCACAAGAGGTGATGGCCCTTGTTCTGGCTCAGTGCACAGAGGTGAATTTTGTCCACAGTGAAGTCAGGATAAAGTTTCCATCACTTGTTTTCTCCCAGAACTGGCATCCTTAACCATAAGCACCGAGTATGTGCCTGCCCTTCTCCGGGAAGAGGGTAGGGTGACCACCCGTCACTAATTGGGCGGGACAGTCCTGAAATGGGAACATCAAGTCCTGGTCCTGGGCTGCATGACTCTGGGACACCATTTGTCCCGGATTCCCAGTATCGTTCAGGGATCCGGGTTTTTCATTCACCGCTGAAAAATGCAGGAAATAGCGGGTTTCCCTTTGCACGCTGGCAGAGTTCCAGCCTGCAAGAGGCTGTGGGGAGCGGGATGCAGGGGGTGTCATGTGCATGTGTGTGCACGCATGTGCACATGGCCAGGAATACAGCCCCAGGCAGCAGTGGAGAGCAGTTCCCCCAGCTGCCTGGAGGTTAGTTTATGGGGAGGGGGGACAGACTAAGGCCCCCACAATGAAGAAGGGAGTAGGGCAGAGGCTTGGCCTGAGGGTGATGTCCAGCCAGGGCAGTGCACGGGGCCTGTGGCCAGGGCAGGGAGAAGGTCAGAGCCACAGGCAGCTCATCCATGAGGGCAAGGGAGGCCAGCTCCCTGCTGCTGCCTGCACTCCTGGGGAGGGGTGAATGGGGGGGGCACATGCCCCCCAGAGTTGTGCATGGGACAGGAGAAGATGCAAGGTGATGGGGCACCCCCTGCCCACCTGGCAGCAGTGGGGGTGATAGTGTAGAGTTGTGCCCCTCACTGCTGCTGGGTGGGCAGGGGGCACCTCATCATGGTGGCACGGCCGGTGCAGGGCTCCCGGGGGAGGGCAGCAGGGCAGGGAGCCCCAGGCCCACAGTGGGCAGCCGGTGTTTACCCCCACCCTGCCACGTGCTCTGCTCTGGCTATGCCACTGGTGGTGGTGGGGCATCAGCTTAGCCTCCTCCCAGCAAAAATAAAATTCAGCACCTATGTCCTCAACTACAAACAACTATCAAATGGCATTTTCCAACTGATTAGTGATGAATTAACGAGGCAAGCTGGCACTGAGCTTGCTCTCACCCCCCTTTTATCCATATTGTTTTCCTGGCAGAGTGGGTTTTTTAAGTATGATGGCATTTGGTTATTGTGTTGAATATGAAATAAAGTGAATTGGGGCAAACTCGGAACCAGATGCGTGTCCTTCAAAGCTTCTACCTAGCTTGAGTCATCATTCAGCCAGACCCTGATCCAGCAAAGTACTTGTTTTAAGCACGGGCATAGTTGCGTTGACTTCTAATAACTTTAAGCGCATGCTTTGCTAAATCAGGGGCTGAGGGAAATGGATCCATGAGCAAGCATGGAAACAGCAGCTTTCCTCTATTTAGACAGGATAGAAGGATCCATAGTTAGGAATATTAGGACTATAAGTGAAGAAACAAATACAACAGGTCTCCATCCTTATAAAGGATATAACTATCTTGTACAAGTTTCTCTTAACGAGCACACAGATTGATCATAAGAAAATAAATGATCGAATCAGAGCCATCAAAGAGGTAGGTAGTTGTTAGTACCAGAAGTGTTTCCTACTCACTGAAACTAAACTCACACTGCAGAACTAATTATGAATAACGATTTAAATAGTTTTTCATTTGACAAACAACACTGCCATTTTGGCTATTTAACAGCAGCAATTTAACACATGCATTTCTAAAGGTTTTGGTTGAGCTAATTCCTTTCACTCTAAGCAAATTTTAAGTATTTTTAGCATGCAGTTGTGGATTTCTTTGAAGCTCTTGAAGACAGTTGGGTACAAAGGTATGCTACTATACCTAAGGTCAGTGGTCCTCAAGCTTTTTTGGACTCAAGGCACCCCTCCATACCTTTTGCAAACTCAGCAGCAATTACAAAAATGTATGTATATATATCAGGGCTTGCCTCCTTGCAGAGGGGCCAGGCAGTGGGGGTGGGAGAACAGCCAGGCGGGAACAAGCCTGAGCCTGTACTTACCTGCTTAGCTTATCTGCTTATCTCCTCACACTTTGAAGCACCCTTTAAAGGATCTGGCAACACCCTGGGTGCTGCAGCACCCTGACTGAGAATTGCTGTCTAAAGTATGGGCGTATCCAAGATTTTGTAAAGCAGGCGCAGGAGCAGTGACCAGTGCTTCAGGGGTGGCTGCGCTCCCACTCCCATCTCCTCCCCATCATTGAGATAGGCACACCATGCTGTGTAAGCCATAACCAGGGACTATTTTTTAAGTCCCTGAATAAGGTAAGATTGCTGCCCACCCTCCACTTTAGGTACCTCTCTCTTCCCCTCTGTGCTCAGCAGCACAGCCCCTCCACTCCCATTCTCTCCATCATCCCTCACTGTTGTCCCCACCATCCCAGGCTGACCCGGAGAAGGGGGGAGCTCCAGACCCAGACCTGCTTTGCTCCAGGAGACCTGGGCTCAGCCAGGGACAAGCAGCGGAGGCAGTGGCAGCAGGTGCATTTCCCCTTCCTGAGCCTGCTCCTGGGTTGGCAGGGAACAGGGAGCAGGGAGGGACAACCCACCTGCTGCTGCTGCTGTCCCTGGATGAGCCTAGGTCCTTGCACAGCCTGGCTGCAGCAGGGCAGGAACAGCTCTGGAGCTCCCTCTGCCCCATGGTCAGCTGGGGAAAGCAGTGACCATCGGGGAAGGGAGGAATGGGATAGAAGGGAAGGGGACATGCCACTGAGCAGGGAGAGGAAGGGAGGGGGAGTTAAAAAAGTCCTTGACTGCTGCTCCTGTGGTGTAGTCTAAAAGGCAGAAGCAATCATACCCCTGCACCCCTCTAGATCCACCTCTGGCCTTAGGTATACTATATACGTATGCATGTGTAGCTTGGCTATACTATAAATTGAATGCCCTGATCTCTGAGAAGATAAACAAAATGCACCAAGCACGAACAATGGCAGTAGGAGATAAGAATGGAAAATCGCTTACGGAAAACAACACAATAACACAAGAGATGGGCAGAGCATGCAAAGGAGCTGTACAACTACAACATCCAAATGGGGCCTGAAGTATTTGACCAGCTAGAGAAAGGAGAACCTGGAAGCACTGAAAAGGGAGACCCAGACATCTCAAGAGAAGAAGCAGAAGAAACCATTAGCAGCCTGAAGGATGGGAAAGCACCTGGGGTACACAACATACCTTCAAAACTCTTGAAGACAGGTGACAGCATAAGCATGCTTCACAAAATTTGCAACGTGTTATGGAGGGAGAAGACTTGGCCAACCCAGTGGACCAAATCAGTCATCATTGCCCTTCCTAATAAGGGGAATCTCCATCAATGCACAAAATACTGCACCATCAATTTGATCAGCCATCCAAGCAAAGTACTTTTAAGAATAATCCTGAACAGACTCAAGCTTCAAGTAGAGACTCTGCTGGCAAAAGAGCAAGCTGGATTCAGAGCAGGGGGAAGTACCACAGAGCAAATCTTCAACATCCAAGGACTGTGTGAAAAGTACCGTGATGACCAAAAAGAACTTCACCATAACTTCACAGAGTTCAAGAAAGCTTTTGATAGCGTGGCACAAAGCACTTTGGCTCACGATAAAGAAGCGTAGCATCGGCAGATCCCTGATACACTAATAGAAGAACTTTACAGCAATGCAAGTAGTGTAGTGCTGGTTGGCAACAGCATCATTGAATGGTTTCCGGCTTCAATAGAAGTGAACCAAGGTTGCCTGATCTCACCATGCTTTTCAACCTCTTCCTTGAGCAAATCATGTCAGGTGCCTTAGGGAATTTCACAGGAACTGTATCAGTTGGAGGGCGGAAGATTAGCAACCTGCGCTTTGCTGATGACATCGGTCTGATAGGAGGGACATCTGAAGAGCTTCAAGAACTCACAGAAACGCTAGACAAAACTGCTAAGAGCTACAGAAGGGAAATAAGCGCTGAGACAAGCAAAGTCATGACAACCTCAGAGATCACCAACAGCAATGCTGATGTGAAGATCGACAACAAAAAACTAGAAAGAGGAATAAGTTTTAAGTATCTGGGAGCCAGCATCACAGAAGACTTGACATCTGAAAAGGAAATCAAGACCACAGTAGCCATTGCCACCAGCCAACTAACAAAACTAAAGAAAATCTGGACAAGCAGCAATATGACACTGAAGGTAAAGTTAGATCTGCTGCATGCTGTGGTCATCTCTATGATGCTTCATGGCTGCGAGGCATGGACGCTTACTAAGAAATTAGAGAACAGAACTGAGACATTTGAAATGCGCTGCTTTAGGAGACTGCTGCATGTCTCGTACGCGGAGCACCAGACCAACGAGCCTGTCAAGCAGTAAATCAGTTAAGAAATTGGAACCTATGAACTGTTGTTGGAGGCTGCCGAGGAAGGGAGCTGCAATGGTTTAGACACAACACGAGAAGGCAGGCCACCCTGGCCAACACCATAATACAGGGTGCAGTAG